AATAATAATAATAATCCTACAACTGCACAGCCGGAAGGGGCTCTATGGATCATCAAGTCCAGCCCCTGCTAAGGAGGCATAGTGGGGAACTTAACTCCCAATCTCTGGCTCAACAGCCAGTTACCTAAACTACTGAGCTATCCAGAGTTGCTGGAGGCATAGTGGGGAACAACTCCCAATCTCTGGCTCAACAGCCAGATACCTAAACTACTGAGCTATCCAGAGTTGCTCACTTCTGATTCAGGGAGAAGCAAGGCTAGAGAATACCTCTTTGTGAGTCAGGAGAAGGTTTGATCTTATAAAAGGCATTGTTTGTGCATCCTTCTAAATTGCTTTCAATCTAAAGCAGATGATGTCAGCCCTGAGGCTTCCTGAGCCTTAGAACTTGCATGCAAACTGAATACTTACAGCTGGCTTTTGTAGGCAGCGATCAATAATTCCTTCCATTTGCCTTTTTACAAAATGCAGTGACTTCTGAGGATAGTATGGGAACAGCAAAGGGCTTTCTAAGGGAAGAAGCAAAAGTAATGGCAATTATGATGGGAAATCTGTATTTCCAAATTGCCCATTTCATATAAGCAGCTACTGCATGAGTGCAGATGTACAGACATGTGAACAGCAGCAGAAGAGAGTTTTCTGACTGCAGAATGATATTTGTTCCCTTGCCTTCACTCGTCTACCCTACTATGTTTTAGAGCAAAGATGGGTAAAATGCAGCCTATGGGCTGAATGTAACCAACAGAGTGCCTTCCTGACCCCATGCTGAAAAGATATGTGCTGTAAAAATGGCCAACCTGGGCCCTTAAAAATGTGTTGGAAAATGGCTGGCCTTTGAAAGACTGTTTCATTCCCCCAACTTTTGAATAAGGCCAGGAAGGCCCAAATAGCCTGCAAATGATTAATCACACACACACATTTGAAACTTCCTGGACATTTGGCTATTCCCCCCCCCTCTCTTTTAAAAATTCTTTCACAGTGGTGGTGGTGATTTCTAGACATGGCCAAGAGTAGCATGCTCAGGGAGAGGGGTTTAAAATCTTAGAGAAAGGAAACTTCATTGACTAGAGTGCTGTCTGGAAGCAGGCTGAGTTATTTCTGTTTTCATTCCCCCCCTCCCCCAATGGCAAAAATTACAGCTACACCTAGGAAATAATAATAGCTTCCCTGAGCTGGTTGCCCTCCTGACGTCAGACCAAAATTCCCATCATCCCCAATAAACACAGCCATCTAACACAACACTGGAGAGTGCAACAATGACAAAGGTGGCTACTCAGTGTAGCTTTCAGCAAAATCAGGATAGCTTTCATACACATAAGCAGTGACTTGTGTGTCAGCCTCACCCATAAAGAAAACAGAGACACAGAATCCTGTAATTTATCATCCAACTAAGAAAAACATGACTTTGAAAAACATGTGAAACATTTCTTCAGCACACATCATCGCAATTCCTATACTGTAGTGAGATGGGTGTGAGACAAGGCATCTTATTTAAGCCTTACAAATTGTCACTATGCAGCTGACACTTTTATAATAATCCTGCAAGGCAATCCATTGAATCTATAAATGTACACATACACATACCATGTTTCCCCAAAAATAAGACAGGGTCTTATATTAATTTTTGCTCCAAAAACACATTAGGTGAATGGTGAGTTTTCGGCCCATTTGGAACGCATTAAACGATGTTTAATGCGTTCCAATGGGTTTTCTTGATCCGTTCAGCAATGTTTTCACAAAGCGAGGGTTAATCCGGAACAGATTAACCTCGCTATGCGAAGCACCACTGTACAACAATCTGTTATTCAAATAGTCATGTCATCTTATTCTGGTTGCTACACAGTGGTGGAGGGCAGGGTTTCACTTAACTGGGGCTTATTTGGGGGTAGGGCTTATATTACGAGCATCCTGAAAACTTATACTAGGGCTTAATTTCAGGTTAGGTCTTATTTTAGGGGAAACAGGGTACATACATATCTATATAAATATGTGCACACAACTATTTTCAAATTAGTTTAAAAACTATTTAGATAAAGAAGGAATTGACTTCACAATTAATGTGAACAATTTGCCAATGAATTTGGGTTTGGAAATGGGGTGGTGAGACTTTGTGACTGACACAAACTTTGGACAATTTTTCCTATGCAAATCTGTATTTTGCTAAAAAAACCAAAAACAAAACCTCAACAAGTTCCCTTGTCAGATCTGTGCGTGTATCTGAACAAACGTACACTGCTTCTTTAGCTAGATAAAGTAACGTAGGGAGCCCCAGGTAAAATAAAACATGGCCTTGAATAAAGTCCTGACACAACATATAGAGAAAGGATGACATCCTTCCCTCAATTATCTTGCTTCTCTATCTTGATATATACAGTACTGTATATCCCTATCTTAGATGGTTATCTGCTATTCTAGTTGACATGAATTGTACTGTAATTTCCAAACCCCTTGCTATTATTCTGGCTAACTTCAAGAAAGTTCCCTAACACTACAAAGTATTCTTTCCTATCATAATTTTGAAAGCAAACACAAATTCTAGAACAACTAGCCCACAGCATTTTAACTATTATTTCGCCCTCACTCCAATGACTAGATTTCAACACAGTGTTAAAAATGTATTTTTAAAGCTGGCTCAGTTTGATTCTTTGAATATCACACCTGTACCTAAATCACCTTACCAAAGTAATTAGTAAATATAAAGTGGTAGGACCTGCAACAAACTTTTGCCTTGAGTGGTATTCCTATTCTATATTCTTGCCATGCTTTCCTCCAGGATACTCAGCCTCTCCAAAGCAGTCTACCAACATCTTGTGCCCATGTGCCCACTGGACTGTTTCCCAACCCTTAGGATCTGGGGGTTTTGTTGTTGTTGTTTTTCTAAGGATTTTGTTACAGGAATTTGTCCTAGCAGGCTGAAAAACATTTCTCCTTGTGTGGATGGATAATACCATTTTGGCTACTTAAAGACCCAGATCCAACAAACAATCTTCAAAGACAGGTGTACTTTAAGGAAGAACAAATGAATCTGAGGCATGCTGGTGCCAAATGCCACGGCTCTATCATGATCCTTAATACAGGGTTCCAAAATATAATTTTTTTCCTAGATACAATTAGCTTTCACATCCTTCAACCACAAAATGAAAAGTCCTAAGTGCATGCACATCCATAACCACACTCTAGTGTAAATGTATGCCATATACAAGTATACTTTAACACCGACAGCTTGGCATATTTAGATCATCTGGTATTAACAGCTATATTACCTTTAAGATGGTTGCTATTTTGGAGAAAATTAAACCACTGGTTTCCTTCCGTGTTAGGTGGGGATACAAGGTCATCATCTTCATCTTTCAAGTACTGGAAAAATTATTTGAATAAAAATCTGAACAAAACAAAACTATTAAAAAAACCTTAGGAAACTATTCTTAGTCTTATATTTTCCCCTTCTGAGTTTGAAACACGTAACTTAACTTACTAAACATTTAGTGACTCCCTCCCCTTTCAAAAGTGTTTTATTACTCAGTGTCCAAGAGGTTATCACACTCAAATTGCCATATTATCGAAGCAAAGTGGAAAAATTTATCAGAGATGGTTATAATTTATAAACCTTTGGTCTGTGAAACCAGGAGCTACAACTAGCATGTTGTGATCTAAAGTTGTTCATTAAGTGAACACACTATATATTTTAATTTTTATTTGTATGGTGATAAATCTGCAGTGAAGACTTTTTTTCCCCTCCAGCAGTACCGTACTTTCTAAACAGTGTTTAGCAAAAATTAGGAAGAACTAGGCATGGGATTTTCAGAATATCGTGGACTATAGTCTTCAGAAGCCTGCAGGAATTGCCTCAGGCAGACTACTGGAAGCTTCAATCAAGGAATCAAAATTCTGACATGTATTTTCATGTTCATTCAGACTCTAACAGCCATTTTCATATGCAGAAAACAGATGAAACGGCTAGTGGGGCTAAGCTCTGTGTGAGTTAGAAGGGTTTATGGGTGTGCTAGTCTCTATCCATCAGGCTCTGCAAACCAAGCCTTTTAAAAACCGACATCAGACTCATAATTCCCTATAGCTCCCATGATGCTTAGTCCTGCCCATTCAGTTCTCCCTATCTTTTCCACAGGATGAAAATGGCCGCCAGAATATGCATTCATTAGTTGTAAAAAAATGTCAGAACATTGATTAAGTCTGGTTGGGGAGAGTTCTGAAGACTTCTAGTAGCTGTAGTCCACAAAATCTGAAAATGCCATGCCTAGAAACAAGTGTACCATATTTTTACCAGAAATATTTCATTCTGTTCTTGCTCAAATGTCTAATACTTCAGAACAGACATTTAAGTGCAAGCACAACACTGACAATCTCAGCAACCAAACAGTTGTGGAGGCAATGATATTACTTGCAGAGAATGAGCCATCCAATATTTTGCCTCTGCAAACACCTACCAGAATTATTGCTCCTAGGCATATGTTTGCATTTGTGCAGCTAAAATGGAAGCTGAAGTAGTGACAGATTGACAAAAGATTTACTATCCTCTCTACTACTAATTACTTCTACCCTCAGAATGCCAACTTTCTCCCAGTGTTTTGCAACTGTTCAAAGACAACTGGAATCTCTACATCTGAACTTGCACACAAATATCTATTTCAATCTTAGGAATCTCCATGGAAAATAAAATGTAGTGATTTCAAGGCACTAACACTTTCAGAGCCAATGAGCAAATGGACATCTCACCATGCAAATTCTCATTATGTTATTTTAAATGGGCAACTTTAAGCATATTTCCTAGACATTAAACTACATTCAAGTCAACAGGATTTATTTGTGAGTACAGTGGGGTCTCGACTTACGAACGGCTCGACATACGAACGTTTCGACTTACGAACCGCTCTCATAGGAATATATGGACTCGACTTACGAACTTAGATTCGAGTTACGAACTCTTTTTTTTTCCTTTTTTTAAAAACTAAGTCATCTTAGGTTAAAAGGAAAAAAAGAAAAAGATATCCCCCTCTAGTGGCAGAAGGTGGAATAGCAGCATCCCATTAGTTTCTATGGACGAAAAGAGCAGATACGGATTAAATGGTTTTCAATGCATTCCTATGGGAAATGCAGATTCGACTTAAGAACTTTTCGACCTGAGAACTGCCTTCCAATATGGATTAAGTTCGTAAGTCGAGACCCCACCATGGCAAAATGTAGAGCCTTGGGTTACCAAGAAAAAAAATATCCATTATAGTGTGGAACATCATGTGAATTTTGAAACAAAAGGATCTGTTCTCAGATTTTTGGCATAATAGGTTTTCTCTTATCAACTGGCTAAATGATCTTTCCCCTTTTCTAGTCTTTATATGGGGATAATGTGACTTCTTTTATGTGACATAAAGAGTAAAAAATGGAAATCCCAAAGGGTTTCTGCAAAGCCATGAGGCAAAAGAAGGGCAATACAAATGTTCTGGCAGTTGAAAGTAAATTTGCCAGCAGTCATCTTGCTGGTGGATCTCCAGAAACATTCCACACAACATTTGTACATTTACAGCAGGTAATCTGACTGTACTCTTTAGCTCTGTAACATGGCATCATTGCATAGGCTTTGCAGCAGTTTTTGACACTGCCTGAATATCACAAATGGGTAAGAACATTCAGAACGCCATCAGTCCAGGAATATTCTGCCAGACTGAAGGTAAGAGCACCCAGGTGTCAAGAGGGCAGCTGACAATGTGCAGTTTTATTTCTTAGCTCTCATGATAGCAGAGTAACAAATGCTGGACAAGAGCAGAAGGTCCCGCGAGTACAGCATCCTGCTTCCACAGTAGTCAGAATACCTCTAAGAAGCCTTTAAGACCTTAAAGGATGCGCCTCACAATGTATAATTGATATTACTATAATGAAAACGAGGCATGAAAAAACTCACCAGAATACACAAAAAGGGGTATGTAAGTCACTTGAATATTCATATAAATTCATATTATTTCCATAACTTCATTCCAAAATGTAGTATTCAAAATGCTAGGCTACACAAATTACAACAGACCCCTTTTTTCTGCAACAGGTTATCAACCCATATTCTTGACACAAAAGAGTGTAAAGATATGTTACCTGACCAACTCTTTCCACATTAAAGTATTTCCCTTTACGGCTGTAGAGTTCAGGCGCCTATGAAAGATATGTGGAACGTATTATACGGTTATTAGTTTAAAAGTGTGATTAGTTTGACAGAACAATGGAAAAGGAATTTCTAAAATGATTACATTCAACTTGTGGGTCAGTTTTAAATACGTGCTTTCATTTGGTAACATACAATTTACAGACATAGTGGGAATGTGTGTCAAATATGTATCTAACAAGATCATGGCCACTGGTCCTATCACCTCATGGCAAATAGAAGGGAAAGATATGGAGGCAGTGACAGATTTTCTTTCTGGGGCTCCATAATCACTGCAGATGGTGACAGCAGCCACGAAATTAAAAGATTCCTGCTTCTCGGGAGGAAAGCAATGACAAACCTAGACAGCATCTCAAAAAGCAGAGACATCACCTTGCCGACAAAAGTCTGCATAGTCAAAACTATGGTTTTTCCTGTAGTGATTTATGGAAGTGAGAGCTGGACCATAAAGAAAGCTAACTGCTGAAGAATTGATGCTTTTGAATTGTGGTGCTGGAGGAAGCTCTTGAGAGTTCCCTGGACTGCAAGGAGAACAACCCTACACATTCTAAAGGAAATCAACCCTGAGTGCTCACTGGAAGGATAGATCCTGAAGCTGAGGCTCCAATACTTTGGCCATCTCATGAGAAGAGAAGACTCCCTGGAAAAGACCCTGATGTTGGAAAAGTGGGAAGGCAAGAGGAGAAAGAGACGACAGAGGAAGAGATGGTTGTATAGGGTCACCGACGCTACCAACATGAATTTGACCCAACTCTGGGAGGCACTAGAAGACAGGAGGGCCTGGCGTGCTCTGGTCGATGGGGTCACGAAGAGTCGGACACAACTAAATGACTAAACAACAACAACAACAAGTATCTAACAAATGTATCTAAATGTATTGAAGAAACAAAGTCAGATGAAGTACACAAATGGAATAACTTTTTCACAGTACCCAGTCAATAAAAAAACCCCAACTTACCTCATTGAAGTGTTCAGTAAGAAAATCAGCAACAAAGGTAATATCTTTTTGGGTCATCTTTGGAGAGGGAAAAAGATCACCACTATGAATGTTCATTTTTAAAACAAGTATTAAATCAAGCGTACCTTAAAACAAAAGCTCTCATTATTTCTACAAACTGGTACATCCAAACCAAGCATTCATTATAACTTTAAAAAAAAACACCTTCAGAATTCTTAAATACAAAGTATAAAGCAATAATGTACAACATCAGATGACAAAATAAGCCTGATCAATAAGTACCGGATTTAATTTATCACATTTTCTACTACTGCAAAACAGAAATCAAATAACATTTCCTAAGGCAATCGGCATCTCAGAAATGAGCTGCAATTTGCTACCAAAGCAGGTGATTTCTGCTACACACACATAAATAGGCAATAGGCTTCTGATTGATATTAAGGTAATACAGTATAATTCTGAATATCAGGTGCTTGGGAAAGGTAGGAGGTAACCATCATATGCATGCCCAGCTTGTGAACATCCCACAGCATCTTAACTGGCCACTCTGAGAAAGTGAATGTTGTGATAAAAACAGAAGATAGTGATTAACAGCTGCAACCATAGAGCACCATGTACATGTTGTGATGTCTCCACAGCAGGACTGTAATTCAGCTACAGGCCACGGTAAGCAAGTGCTTACTTTACAGCCCACTTGAAAATGCATGAGACACCCAGTAGCAAAAAGGCCTTATAAAAGTGACCCACTAGAACTCATTTAAATGTACCATCTTTGCAAGATTTAAGAGCAAAGTAATCCCCTCCCCAAATTAAAGACCCTACACAACATGCAATGTGAAGAATTGATCACATCCCAAGCATATAAGAGGACTCAACAATTATCTTCCTTTTGCTACTTGTCTGTGATTTCAATAAGAGGACCAGTGAGGAAAAGATTGTGTCAAGACCCTGGCAGATCACAGTCCTCAGCTTCCAGAACTGAGCTAGACTTGGTGGTTCACAAGTAACACAGGTGTGCTGTAGAACATATGTGACTGATGACAAAAATATTACCTTGTTGAGCTCTGGGGGGATGTGGTCTTCTGACATCCTCAACATGGCTGGAAAATAAAAAAGACCAGAATATGTTCGCTTAGTATGGGAGGAGGAGGTTGAGATTTTCCTCCCACTCTCCCAGAGGAAGTAACAAGTGAAAATAAAATAGGTAACTCTAACAAGTTACTTTCCCAGTTTTGTCAACTAGGGCGCAATGAAGTTACATTTCAATAGTAATATAACCAGTGTGAACCAAGTTACACCAGTGGTGTAACTAACAATGTTTCAAGCTACTTTTCAACAGCTGAATTCCTGTTCTGCGGTTATGCAAAAGTTGTAACTTCAAAATAAATTGCTATAAGCGAAGAAATGTCCACAGACATTACCTGTTCCACATCTGTGCAACTCAAGTGTCTAACAAATAATGTCTATGAAGATTTCTTGATAATTTGCTTTTGTGTAACAGGCTTTCAGCTGATGTCACTTCTGAAAGGCATCTTTAGAGGCATCTTGACAAGATGCCATCATCTTACCTATCAGCTTTTTGTCAAAAAGTAATGAGGAGTGGAATGAATAACAGAGTCTTAGTTTTAAAACTCTGTACACATTACTGACAACAACTGATTTTTAAAGCTCTGTAACAAATAAGGGAAACAAATGACCTATAAAAAGCAACTCTGCAATCCCTCTTCTCTCCTCTAAAGTTCATTCTTCCACAATCCCAAATGTGGCTTTGCAACATGGTAAGGGGTGGAGGGCCAGGAGATCCTTTAAATCACATTTACTCAGCTTCCTGGCCCTGAGCTGCCTTCATAAGCAAGAAGAGACGTCCTTCCTTTCAGTCTGGTGACCCATTCAGTATAAAGAGGAAGATCTGACCTCTCCACAACAGGCTCTCCAAGGGCAGAGCTTTCCTCTTCTTCACAAAAGTGAAAGAGAGCTGCTTGCTTGTAGGAAAGCATTTCCAGCAGCCCATTAGAGAGTAAGTGCTCTTCCTTCACTGTAAAATCTCTGCATTGGAATTTGCTTTTTAATTCTACTAGAATAAGACAGAATGCTGCAAACTGGTTTATACAATCAGCACAATTTTTATCTTACCTACATACAGCCACCGGAAAAAAGCTTTGAAATTTTTCATACTGCTATCTATAACTCTGGAGACAAAGAATAGGAAGAACATGAAATTATTTTTCAAAATTTCAAACATGGCTTCAGACATTTGTGAGGGGCCATTTCCCTCATTACAATCCCTGTCCGTGGTTCCAGAGTCTAAGAAGGGAACAATGTCTACATACATTCATCTGTATTTCACCCTCTGCCCACACATGGCATAGGACTAGTTTCAATTATAAAGACCTTAAGGCAGGAATAGCCCCAAGGGATCTGATCTACGTCGGTTGCACTGTGCAGCAGCTCACATATGTGCACGTTTACACAGGACAAGGAAGGGCAGACCCTGCAGATGCCAGCACAGAGGTGTAACACCCCCCCCATCTCTCTTTCCTTCAGAATGTTCAAAGCCTTTCTGGTGAATGGTATTAGTAATTCATATGGCAAGCCTACAAGGTTGATGAGAACCAGCAGCCCTATTTTGCAAGTAGGGGGCATGAAGCAAATGAGTTTATGGCTGGTAAGAATGCTACATCCCATTTCAATGGGTACCTACTATCTCCTTTCTAATGAAAACATGAGGATGAGGTCATAAGCTAACCAACCAACCAATCTAACCTGCATCCAGCTAGAGACTTTAAGCACTGCAATACATAGTATTTCAGAAAAAAAAATCAATACTTATTTCACCAATGAATACATAAATAGTTCTTTAAAAATAAGTGCTTGCACAGAACAACCTAGATCAATACATACTGAAGAAGCTCATTTGCTTTCAGGATGAAGGAGCCCACAGCAGTAATAGCTTCTGTAAAGATAGGATTAAAAGTTATTTAAAGCCATCTGAGTTTGCTGGCAGCAATGCTAAGCAATAAGAGAATCAAATACCTTCTATTCCTGATGCATCCAGTCCAAGGGACTCATACTTTTGTTTCCACAATGCCATTCCTTTCAGTTCACTTAAATGGTAGAGTAAGGCTTCAGAGCCACTACCGAAACATGGAATTAAAATTGTTGTATGACAGATTTGTCATCACATCAGTAATATGAAAAATGATATATAAATGACATCAATGATTCCTTTTCTCAAGCAAAGGCATATGTTTTTTGAACTTACTTAACAGACTGGTGGAAAACACCAACATATAAACAAGGTACAGTTTGTATGATAGGTTTGTTTTTACACAACTTTTAATGTTGCTTTATTATGTGGTTAGTCACCTACACAACTCCAAAAGACCATATTAATAAGTTTTAAAGAAAAATTAACTTCTGTGTAGCTAGGCAGCTAGGAGTTCCTTGTACACATGTTAATCTAAGGGCTAAACCCTACTGTTAGTCCCACATAGAGTAGACCCACTGAATGACAGTTGTCAAGCCAACACTTACATAAATCTTACTGATTCAATAGATTTATTCTAGCTGGGATTAAAATTTGGATTTAGTTATAAGTATTCTTCTGCCTATGTAGTGAAAGGACAAAAAAATATCCTGTTGCTTAGCATTTTAACTCACTTACACTTAAGTAGGTCTATTGAATCAATGAGGATATAGTGAGTCAGCTTCTCCATATATTCAATCGGTTCAAATGGGCCTATTATGTGATTTACTTTAGCAAAGTAACTCATAGAGTAGGCCCATGTGAATCTATGGAACTTACAGAGGAGTTGACTCACTAATTTCCCATTTATTCAATGGGCCTAACTCTGGTGCAATTTACTACACTAAGCAACAGGATTTTGGTCAATATTATAAGTTCTCCAAATTAACAGTTCACCAGTATCCAAGGTATTTTGTTTATGCAAAAAAGAGATGCTTACTATAACCTTCCCTAATCTGGTACCTTCCAGATTTGCAAGTCAAGAGCCACACAAGTCAGGAATGATGAAAGGTCAAGGAAACACCAGATTAATAAGCACTGGTTTATTAAAATACTCATTCAAATGCATACATTTACCTTTGCAAGTGACTTATGACAAGCTTCTGAATGCTAGAGTACGAGGACTCCATAGACTGGCCAAGTTTTTTTAAGCCCTGTTGGAAAACATTTTGTTTTATAGTGCAGTTTAACCATATGTGCTTAAAACATTTTAATATATATAACACCATACCTTTACTGTTAGCTGATTCATTAATAGTGCCTGAAGTTCAAGGCTACACACAAAAATAAAGTAAAACACTGTTATATAAAAACACACATATTGTAATTTTCTGCCTGAATATTACATAAATCTGATAAAAATCTAAGATTCTATGTAACACATACCTTGCTTTGCCCCACAAAAGCAATTGCATGAATTCATCTTGCACAGAAGTGGTTGTGTTCTTTTCCTGCAAGTAAGGATTGTAATATGAAACAATTACAGTGGTGCCTCGACTTACGACTGTAATCCGATCCAGAAGATGGACGTAAGCGCCAGGAGGCTGAGCCTGGCAGGATGCTCCGGCTGCTTGCCCCAGCCTTGCGCTCTGCCATGGTTGGCCCCTCTGTAGAAGCCCATCGGGAGGCGAGCGGCCAGAGCATCCCAGCCAGGGTCAGCCTCCCGGCACAGGGCCACCGCCACCACATCCCTTTCCCTAACCATTGGGGTGAAAAAGCTGCAAAGCAGCAGCCTCTTCACCACCAATGGTTTGAATTTCCTGCCTTTTCCCCCTGCCTTTCCTGGTCGCGAGTCGAAGCAAAATTTTGCGGCCGGAGCTGGTCGTACGTTGAAATAGTCGTAAGTAGGGACATATGTAAGTCAAGGCACCACTGTATTCATATAGAAATATCAGTCCCAGACACATCCATAAGACTTGACAGTGACCAAGAAATAAATGAAGATGGGGTCAGACTCAGTTTTCAATTGCTAGGTTATTAGAAACAAAAGAAAGGATCAGTTCCTACATGATCAGTATGATAAATTTTACTTCTTTGCTTCATCGTATCATGCACCAATTCTGTCCAATATAACTTATAACACCACTTTTTCAATAGAATCAACTCCATAATGAGCAACAGTTGATACTAAAATGTTTGCCTCTTTCTTTGCAACATGTTTATGACACAGCAAATAAAAAGGCCACAATGTTCTGTTAAATGCTGCCTGTTTGCTTTTAGAAAGAGATGCAGAAGCCTAGCCATAATATACAGTCATGTGGGGGAAAAAAGTACACCCTCTTTGAATTCTATGGGTTTACATATCAGGACACTATAAAAATCACCTGGTCCTTAGCAGATCTGAAAATTAGAATAAGCACAACCTCAGATGAAGAACCCATGACATATTACACTGTGTCATGATTTATTTTACAAAAATAAAGCTAAAATGGAGAAGCAATGTGTGAAAAACTAAGTACACTTTATGATTCAATAACTTGTAGAACTGCCCTTAGCAGCAATAACTTCAAGTAATCATTTCTGTACAACTTTATCCATCTCTCACATTGTTGTGGAGAAACTTTGGCCCACTCTTCAACGTTGCTTCTGTTCACTGAGGTCTGTGGGCATTGGATTATGGACAGCTCTCTGAAGGTCCCACCACAGTACAGCGGTGCCTCGCTTAACGATTGCCTCGTTTAGCGATGAATTCGCATAACGATGTGTTTTTTTAGAAAATAATATGCACCGTATAACGATGTTTCCTATGGGCGATTTTCGCTTAGGAAAGTTTGGGACCATGCTTCGCATAACGAATGCGATTTTAGGTCCCCTGCTTCACTTAACGATGTTTCTTTTTTCAATTAAAAAAGTGTCTTAGAAGGGTCAAAAACGGTTCTAAATGCTTGGATTCGTTAGAGGACCCCCTAAGTCATGTGCAAACCTGATTTGGCTTTGATCTGACTTTTCGTTAATTTATGGTGAATTTCTTTTTTCAGCCCATAGGAACCAATGGACCTGTCAAAATCTGACAGCTCCATGCTTTCCTATGGGGGAGAAAACAATTAATTTTTTGTGAATTTTTGTTTTTTGGCCCATAGGAACCAATGGACCTGTCAAAAGTTGGGGGAAAAAAATTCACCATTAATTAACGAAAAGTCAGATCAAAGCCAAATTAACTTTTGCATCCGTTTTAGAGGGTGCAGAAGCTAATCCAAGCATTTAAAACCATTTTTGACCCTTTTATGACACACTTAATTTTGCAAAAATTGACTTCGCAAAGCCATTGAAATGTATTGAGTCAGCTTCAATACATTCCAATGGAGGAAACATTGTATCGTTTAACGATGTTTCCTATGGGTTTTTTCGCTTAAGGACGGCAATCCGTGCCTATTGGAACGGATTAACCGGTTTCCAATGCATTCCTATGGAAAATGGTGTTTCGCATAACGATGTTTCACATAACGTTTTTTTTGGAACCAATTAAAATCGTTATGCGAGGCACCACTGTATTTCAATTGGGTTGAGGTCTGGACTTTGACTAGGCCATTGCAACATCTTGATTCTTTTCTTTTTCAGCCATTCTGTTGTAAATTTGCTGGTGTGCTTAGGATCAATGCCTTGTTGAATGACCTAATTTCAACCAAGCTTTAGCTGCCAGACAGTGTTTAAAATGTGGCTCCAAGATCTGTCTCTTTTAAAATCAGAAAACCGTGGTGCTTGTTGATGCAGGCAGGCTTTAAAATGGAGTTTTAAAATGGAGTCTACTGTAGACTCAAGGCTCTCCCCCCCCCTTCTCTTCTCTGTCTTCTCTTTTTGTGCTTAACAGCACAAACCTTTGTATGAGGAGTCTGTGCCCCAGTGATGACCTTCTTTCTTTCTTTCCTCTTTTCCCCATTGTTCCTTCCCTCCCTTCCCCCCTTCATTTCCTGCCCTTTTTTAAGCTAAAAGGTGCTTGGTTTTCTTTAAAAGGTGCTTCTTTTTAAAGGTGTCCTGTTTAGAAGTTGTTCCCTCCCCCTCTCCTTTGTTGCCCTTTTTTGACCTAAGTTCATCTTAGGTCAAAAGAAGAAAAAATCTCCCCCTAGTGGTAGAGGATGAATTAACCGACTTTGCGTTAGTTTCTATGGGAACTAATGCTTCTACTTAAGAATGGTGCCTCTAGATAAGAACCAAAAACAGACGGAATGGATTAAATGGTTTTCAGTGCATTCCTATGGGAAATTTTGCTTCTATTTACAAACGTTTCAACTAACGAAAATCTTCTGGGACGGATTAAGTTCGAAAGTAGAGGTTCCACTGTACTTTGTTTTTTCACATGACTGTAATGTCCAAATGTGTATCTGGGGAAGTGGATTCTGACCCACAAATGCTTGCACTGAAATAAAACTGATGGTTTTTATAATGCTTCAACATTTTGCTTTCTTTCCCTTTTGTTTTGCCAACTTCCCATACCTACTGAAATTGTTCCCCCTCAACTCACCTAACCATTACATCAACTCAGTGAGGTGGGTGTGGAAATGACCAACTGCTAAACATTTGTGCTCCTGCTCTGCTGCACAGAGTTAATGAAACAGGCCATGGTGGGGAAACGGGGGACTGGTATCTACTGTTGGGCTGCAAGGTGTTTTGTAGTAGATCAAGAAGAGAAGAGCTTACACAATACCTGTACAAATTTGGTTAGCCGTGAGTCCATCTGCATCAAAATTTCTTCCCAAGCTTCACACATGCATGTTAATGACAGCTTTATGTACTGTTTACAAACAGAAAAATATTGCAATTGGTATTTTTTCCAATAATTTTGGAAACCAAGGAAATTCTACTATTGGTTGTTTTGGGTTTTTCAGGCTCTTTGGTTGTGATTCTACTATCATTATGTATAATAATTAAATTCTATCTGCCTTTACGCATGATTTTCAGATACTAAACCAAAACCAAAACCACATAAATGCCACACAGAAATAAAAAGCTAAAACCAAGGTTAATATTTTAAAAAATATGCTCCTTTTCACAATTCTGCATCACACTAGGAAGAAATAAAATCATGCTACCAGCCTGATTCCCACCACGTCATCTTGGAAGCAAGTCCTATTTATTGCAACAAAATAAACTTTCATGTAAAGAGGCCTCAGATTGCAGCCTGATCCTACCAAATTTTGACCTCTTTCCTCTATAAAACATTACTGTGCCCACGTTGTTCATTCAAAAGGTTCAAACTCTAGGCATTTCTCTAGACCACTTGGCTGCTCTATCATTTATGTAGTCGTATAGACTGCTAAAAGTTCGGCTCTTGGATAGTGAAAGACCAGATCTTTTTGGGGTAGCCAGTAAAGTTTGTTTAGCTTTAAACTTACAACTCCCTCTGCACATTGACAAATTGGCTAGCTATCTGCATATTATAGAGAGCCCACAGGAACGGCATGCCTTCACTCTTGCAAGATGCAATGTACTTCCTTCTAATGTTCTAAATGGTAGATTTAACTCCCAACCAATGGAAACATGGCTCTGCCCTTGTAATTCTGGGACCCTTGAGTCCCTGGCTCATATGCTTCTTTACTGTACAGTACACAATGATATTTGTGCATCTAATTTGGAGTGAATTCTTGCTAGTTTACCTGGTCAATCAGAGGAGGTAATCCTTACACTCTCCTGCTAGGAGAACAAAATTGACACCAGGCAGATGGCCAAATTTATCAATCTATTTATCAATCTATTAACACAGCGATGCAAGTCACAATTTCCAACAAATTCTTTGTTCTGCCCTCATGGGATGTTTGCCAAAGCCTCGCTGCTGATGTCTAGCCAGTCTTTCAAATGAATTATGCTTGTTCTGCTGTGTTTTATCTACACTTATGGCACTCGTGCTCTTTGTTTTTTCCTAAATGGGCACACACTCCTCATTCGGGCAAGGACTATTGCCTGTTGTGTTATATGTTTTCTTCCAGATGCCAATAAAGGTTCTTGAACTGGAACCGGAACTACCAAATTTTTAGAAAAGAGAATCAGTTCATCATAGGCATCCTTCAGTCTCGAGAGACTATGGTAACATGCTCTGAATCGAGGAGTGTCCTCTCCAGAGCATGAAGCCCGGGTAAGGTAATATGGAGGATAGGCTGTTACCCAAGCAGCAAATCCCCCCTCTCCACGTTGCTGAAATGGTCCAATGGAAAGGCAAGAGCCAATACGACTGGTTCCAGCAACGTCGCAGGAGTTGGCAGAACGACACGAGCTGCCTTCGGGACTCCAGCTCCGGATTTTGCCTCGAGGTTAACTCCTGAAGCCTTTTCCATCGGTGGATATAGCCACAAGGCAGTGGAGGTGAATCAGTTATTCTCAAAGTAATAATATGATTGAAAGGCACAAGGCAGCAGCTGGTTCAGAGTGTCATTTTGGTACTAGGTGAACACAAAGACAATTTTAAGACTGTACCTGCAGTAAGGTTGAAATGTGTGTAAATTTTCGGGCCATTCGAGTGACTTCTGGTAGATAAGTTGAGAGCAGACTGGTGTCCAGCTATACCACAAAACAAAGTCCCAGTCAGTAGATATTAAATACTGGCTAAAATCCTGTTGCTTAGCTTTGTAAGTCCCACTCAACTAGGCTGATTGAATCAATGGGTATTTGGTGAGTCAAATCCTCCATAAGTTCCATTGATTCAAATGGGCCTACTCTAGTTGTGACTTACTTTGCTAAAGTAAGTTGCAAACAGAGTAGACCCATATGGAGGAGTCGACTCACCAAATCCCCATTGATTCAATCAGCCTAGTTGAGTGGGACTTACAAGACTAAGCAACAGGATTTCAGCCATTCTCTATAAATAACAGCATATATTGCAGCACGGAGATCTGCAGCACCAGGGAAGGATTAACAAAGCTATCCACAGACCAGTCAGGTGTTCATCAACTAGGTATGTTCAGGCTATGCTGTGAAGGGAACCCTGGCCAATGCGCTTGTTAACAGGGGAGCAATGTGATTGGCTGGGTGATGTATGTAGTCAGCCTATCCTGGAGCCTGAAGGAGGAGGGGGTTAGAGGGCTGGAGTAATGAAAGCGAGAGGAGACAGGAGGTTTTGAGGGAGAAAAGGAAAAAAAATGAAAGTGTTATAATGAAAAGGGGGAAAATAGAATTTAGCAAATATTAAAGCTAGGGAGAAAGATAAGGAACTTGTGGGTATGAATTATCTTAATTGATTGCTGTAGCTGAAGAAAAACTTGAACTCAAATTTGTTCTCAGCTACTGTTCCTATGTAATTAAGAGTTATCATTTTCACTGTTTAGCCACTGAGTCTGGTGTGGTTAATCGCTGGTGTCAGATAAACTATTGGAAGATGTTTTAAAAGGTGAAAGGCCTAGGCTGGGGTTGGTCACATATGCAAATATATAGGATAGCTTCTCCCCCTCAATTCCAGTGTGTGCTTTGGCCGGTACAAAGTGATGTGTAACTGGAATCCACATGGAGCAAGCCCAGCAGATATGCACTTCAGCACTAATGAATCCACCAAGGTTGTGGCTAGCAACTAAGAGGCAGGAGTAGCCCCAACATTCTCCATAGCTTATTCACACATTTGGTATGGGTAATGATTCCCAGTACAGTATAGTGTAGGGATAGAGTAACAGACTAGGACTTGGGAGAATAGGTTCAAATTCCCTCTTGGCCATGAAAACTCACTGGGGGAGTGGAACTGGGGAAACCACTCCTTAAATATCTCACTTACCTTGAAAGCCCTATTAGGGTTGCTATAAATCAGTTCTGACTTGACAACACAGAACACACAGTGAGAACCTAAAGAGGACTTTGTGGCCTCTATCTTGTTGGTGCTTACTGTCTGCAGAGCTGCAAGTGCAGAAACAGCTGTCTAGTTATGTGATGGTCAGACGTCAGGCAGGTGCCTAGTCACTGGTCAAGCATTCACCAAACAGCTGCTTGCATGAGCACAGATTCTCACATGATAAATATATGACATTCACCAAGGCTCAGACATACTGCAAACACACAAACATATACTGGAGGAAGAGACCACTTATAACCATTTCAAAAAATACTGCTGCTGAGTATTTCTGCAATTTCACTCACTTGGAAGTATGTTATTTCTGGTTCCGCCTCTGGAGAAACATCTACTTTTGTAACAACTGATAGTGATTTCAAGTCACTGGACAAGCATAAAGCAAGACAAGAGCCTGTCACCTGCAAAAAAATGTTGCACTTAATTTTCTTTGTGTCCAGGTACAAATTCTGTTGCACACTACTCTCTCATTTGTCCCCTTCGCACCGATAAAAAAAATAAGATTGTACTCTTAAGCAGAATCCTGTACATTCAATACATTCAGTTCAGTATAAAGATCCACTGGCTGAAATCCTGTCACCCAGTTATGCAAAAGGCATAATTTTAGAGGCAAACTGCCATCAAGAAATCTCCACAAGCATTATCTGTTGCATATTGCACAACATGACGTAATGGAAAATGTTTACAGAGATTTCTTCACTTACAGCAATTCATCTCTAGCAGTTTTTGCAAGCTGTGCAACAGGATTTCAGGCACTGTGTTCATTTAGGCTTTCTGCTTGATAGAAAAATTAATAGGACGTGCATGTGTAGATGAGAATATGTTTAAATCAGTAAAAGACACTGCACAAAAGTACGCAATTGTTTGTTTTCTGTATTTACCACACACAAAAATCTGTTTTAATTATATAACAGCTAATTTTGCTTAAGGTTGCCACTGTATATGGGTATGTGCATGCACTTTTAAAGCTGTATGGCTGGCAAAGAAACTAAATTGTGGTCCATCTAGTCCAGAATTATCAACTCTGATGGGTGATAATCCCAGGATTCCAGATAGGGTCCCCCCAGCATGACCTGGAGATCTCTGTTGGTTTACTACCCAAGTACTAATCTGCCCAATCCTGTTTAGTTAAGTCAAATTACTTTGTGCACATTCATGGCATTATGATGGTCATATTAAGTGATGACAGTAAAGGGCAAATAAATCTTTCAATGGTAAATGATGAAGTTCCTATCCACCTGTAGTACAGCTGTAATTTAAAAACGTACAGTACATACCCCCGTTATTGTAGCAATCTTATACATTCCATATGCATAGATCTCAATAAAACCAGCATTTCCTCCCAGAACTAGAGCGTTCAGCCTAAATTATTCAAAAAGAAAGAAAAGAAACATGAACTCACTGAGCACAGGAACTACAACTATGCTAGCAACTAAGAGCTGAGTTGAAAAAAAGGTTACAGTTGCCCATTTCTCCAGCAATTTCTCCAAATAGGTTTCCTTTCCAACAAATTCTTTGTGAGCAGGAACCTGGCATTGTGGGTCTTGGGTTGACCTCTGTGACCACCCCACCCTCTACAGGAAAATAGCACAGAGGAGATGGTGAAACTGCCAGAAGGAAGCCAGACCAGTGGGTCCATGCCCATGGAAGGTCCACACCCTGGACCAGAAGCAGACATCCTCTCCCCAGTTCCCCAAGGGAACAGCTCAAGACTTCAGGGGAAAGGGCAAGAGGAGGTAGAGCCCAGGAAAAGGTTTGAGAAGGGGTGAGGACAGGGATATAAAGAATGAGTTAGAGGAAGACAAGGCAGATTAGTGGAGCGAGGCCTAAAAGTGACTCACCAACCCATGGCATGCTGGAAGCCAAGAGTTCCAGACCCAAGTTAACTACAACAATCCTATCCTAAGTCCTGACACAGGGTGATGTCAGATCTGGGCACCCTCAGTCTTTGAGGAATAACAGCCATGCACAGGTGGATTCCCGGAGTATCCAACCCCATCCAGCTCTGACACCGGCAACAACAACAGGTGCAGGAACTGTGCTGGCTGGAACAGGGAGGACATAAACCACTAATTGCCATCAGGTTACATAGAGACCCACAGCGGATCTGAGGGAACAGGAAGGGGGGGATGGCATTGGAGGGGGCAGCCATTGGGGTGGTGCTGGGTAGGGGAAGGAATGGCGGTGGGGGGTAGAACATGCCCACGTAGGAGAAGAGAGGTTAGATATCTTACATCTATCCCCTCTTCTAGTCCTACCCCCAATCAGATGGTATCAGGTGACCATATCAGCAAACCCTTGAGCCACACGTTGCTGTTGATGAACGCCAGGTCAGTACAAAATAAGACTGCCCTCACCCATGATATAATTCTGGATGAGGGTGCTGACCTGGCGTGCATTACTGAGACCTGGGTGGGAGAGGAGGGTGGTGTTCCCCTCTCCCAGCTGTGTCTGACTGGGTACTCAGTCCAGCACCAATGACGCTCGGAGGGTCAGGGAGGGGGAGTTGCTATAGTCTATAGGAGTTCTATCTACTTGACCAGGCTTCCTGTCCCTTTGAGAGGAGGTCTTGAGGGCCTGTATTGTGTGTTGGGCATGCGAGACAGATTAGGGATTCTGTTGGTGTACCACCCACCCTGCTGCGTACCAACAGTCTCCCTACCTGAGCTAACAGAGGTAGTCTCAGACCTGGTGTTGAGGACTCCCAGGCTGTTGATGCTGGGGGACCTCAGCTTTCATGCCGAGGCTGCCTTGATTGGGGCGGCTCAGGACTTCATGGCCGCCATGACAACTATGGGACTCTCAATATGTCATTGGCCCGACACATGAGAAGGGCCATACCTTGGACCTG